GAGAGAGAGAGAGAGAGAGAGAGAGAGAGAGGCATCTGTAGACTGATAGCCACAATATTGACTCCCAGAGACAAAGGCATGATGGGATTTGTATTGTCACCACAGCCGAGTGCCGATGTTGCCTACCCCTGCTCTCAGGAAATAGAAAAGGTATATAATAGCCCAATTACTTCTACACTGCCTCTAATTGCGTATATGTCTAGATAAATCTATCCCAAATCTGTAGTAGTTTAAAAGCATCTGAACTACGATGTTAACAAGTCTCTAGGGACCGAAAGCAAGTACTTCGTAATTTAGACTATAGGGACTCATCTGATTACATGAAAGAAGAATAAAAAGGTGAATTAGATATCCAGCCATGACAGGCATCCTGCAATAACTACCAGAACAGGACAGTTACTTACATTAATGTTCTGTCCAGTTCCTCCTACAGGGAATCCAATAGGCTCTTCTCCTTCTATTGCTCCAAATACCTAGAAAACAATCATATATTTTAGAAGAAACCAGACATACATAATGAATACAGCAATTTATTAAGGGAACCAGTTATAAAGCAGCAGTAACGCTGAGTTAACAAAATCAAATCACACACCGCACATTTATAAAGCATAGCACTGTGGGTAATGTATACAGTATGCGAAGATATATAAAGCAAAATGCTGAGTCACAGTCTAATAACCTTTATAATTGTCCAGTAAAGATCAGCTATAAAAAAAATAATTTTGCTACCTTTTATTAGTTTTATTTTGCAGTCATGTGACTGCGCAGCCTCCCGGACCATCCCTCTTGTGGATTGCGGGGGTATGTCTGCATTGCCTGAGGGCTGGCAGCAAAACATGTGGCAGAGGGAAAATGCATTTCCTGGATTTTAGACAGCAAAGTTGCAGGTAGGAGCTGCTATCAATGAAGCTGAGGAGGGTGTGGTGGTGGGGGGGGGCATGTCAGCAAGATTGACCATGGAGCCACAGGCATGCTGTTGGCCAGTCCAGCATCCAGTAGCTGCGGGATGCAAACTGACCATGCCAACATGGATCTACTTCAGTGCTTAGCATGGTCAGAATGGTTCAGGAAGGGGACTGGCATGATCACCAGGTATTTGCTGCTAAAATTAATTAATGAGAAAAAAATATACAGGTGAAACTCGAATAATTAGAATATCGTGCAAAAGTAATTGCAGTAAGTGCTGCAAAAGGGGCCCAAACCAAGTACTGAGTACATATGCATGCTTGTACTTTTCAGAGGTCCGATATTGTTCTATGTACAATCCTTGTTTTATTGATTGCATATAATAATCTACTTTTTTGAGGTTGTGGATTTGGGGTTCTTGGGGTTTTCATGAGCTGTAAGCCATAATCATCACAATTATGACAAATCACGGCTTGAATTATCTTGCTTTGCATGTAATGAGTCTATCTCATATATTAGTTTCACCTTTTAAGTTGCATTAGTGAAATAAATGAACTTTGCACGATATTCTAATTATTCGAGTTTCACCTGTATAGCACACGTACAAGACTTACTATTGATACAAGAATTGACTAATACACACACTTTAAGAGCCTGTGTCAAAGGGCTTCAGCCTTGCATCAATGACATTAGTCTGAGACTTCTGAGCCCATTCAGAATTTTTTTTGACAGGTGCACGGAAATGTAAAAACCTGCTTGAAGCAAATAAAAGCCCGTCATCACAGACTCTTTCAAATGTGCATTCAGCTTTGCTTATTTTGGGACTCTGCTGAAGAGATTCACCGGCTCTATTTGCTCTAATGACCATTATCACTAAAACAGTAATAGAAGAGAAATCATCCAATCAGGACACTTGTACCTGTGACTAGGGTCTAAAAGGGAATTTCCCCTCACTCTCCTGTTGTGTGTACAGAACACAGTTGGGTAAAAAATAAAGCGAAGGCAGGTTTGTAAGGTGTTTTTGGAACCCCTCGAATAGCTTAGCAAGTGAACAGGTAGAGGAAAATGGCTGCTGTGGCCTACCTCCTTCTTCCTCCCTCTCAATATATTTTAACTAGGGATGCACCCATACTGTTTTTTCAGTATCGAGTACTGATATTTATCTTTTGGTACTCAGCGATATATTGGTACTTCTGGTAGCAAGGAGCCGTCTTCCCGGCCATGCTGATTGGCCGGGAAGCCGGCTCATCAGGAAGCCAGGAGGCAGGCCATTACCCGCTGCCTGGGTTCCTGATTGGCCAGGAAGTTGCCTACGTGCTGTTTGGCCGGCTCGATGCTGATTGGCCGTGAAGCAAATCAGGAAGCCGGGCCGTGGGTCATTACCTGCAGCCCAGCTCACTGATTGGCCGTGAAGCAAATCAGGAAGCCGGGCCGTGGGTCATTACCTGCAGCCCAGCTCACTGATTGGCCGTGAAGCAAATCAGGAAGCCGGGCCGTGGGTCATTACCTGCAGCCCAGCTCACTGATTGGCTGTGAAGCCAGCTCCATGTTCCCTCGGGGCACTGGCAGTCACAGGAAATCTCCCGCTGACCGGAAGTTCTGGTATTTGGATAAGTATCAGAGCATTTGAGGGGAGTACGAATACTCGCCCAAATACTCGGTATTGATATCGCTGCATCCCTAATTTTAACCCTTGGTTACAAGTGTAATAGGAGAAAATAAATAAATAAATAAAACAATTCACTTCCACACACTTCAATAAATAAGGTGCAAACATGTGAATATGGGATGACTTGCCTTGAGCATACTGGTCAGGTAGGTGCTGATGCTCTCCAGTAACATCCTGTTGGGCAGTTGTTTAGTGGCTTTCTTGGACGCAATGTACGAGTTGCACTGACTGACCAGCGATCGCATTTCTTCCATGACAGTTCGTGTGTCAATGTTGTCGCACAGCGCTGCGTGAATGGACGCCTTCTTGGCATAGAAGCTGTGATGAGAGAGAAGAGAGGTCATAGTTACAGACAGGTTAGTCTGGAAGAAGTTAAAATTAAGATCTGGATGTTTAAAGAAAAATTACAGTTTCTAAATGTTTTCTATTTAAAAGCTTCTTTAAAACATGTCTCCACTTGATCTTTACCATGTTTAGACTTCGGTGACAACAATAATTCAGCAAAAATTATTTAAAGACTGTACGCTATTCTTGCACAGATGTACCGTCTTGCTCTACTGGACTGAAATTGCTTACTCTGATATGACTTCACACAGTGAGCGGCTGAAAATGTGCATAAGAAGCTGCTGCAAGTCAGACAGAGCCCGCCTCATTTCCTAACTGGAGGACGTCCAGCATCTTCTGGCACCTTCCTCCCCAGCCTTGCTGTCATTGGCCCACCCCTTTCATTCATTGGCTTTTAGACCTTTCAATCATGGAGGCTCAGCATCACATGTGGGTGTTAACTAGGATTTAAGACCTTTCAATCATGGAGGCTCAACATCACATGTGGGTGTTAAGTAGGGTAGTCTGCATGCAAATGCAGCCTGCTGGACTGATACTCACCCATCAAGTCATTTTATTATTTGCAGAACTCCTCCGAAAAACAAACCCACAACTGAGTGCTAAGGCAGGATGCTGTGATGTTTTCGGGAAGCTATGTACAGCACCCTGCCAGTCCCTTCTACCAGCCATGATCTGCCTACATTGCACAGAGAAACATAGAAATCACTAGGACTATAATAAGGGGAAGCTTTTATTTAAGAATGTCAATAGTATGTTGATGAGGGGTGGGGGTAACCAGGGAAGGCAAACTATGATCAGATTAAACTTCAGCCAACTCTGTCCTTTTTAGCTTTGTACAAAGAGGGTAAGAACCTCTATCAGGTTTTTGATTGCAGTCTGTATTCTCGCTGAGGAGATTTACTCTCCTGTCCAGTCCAGGCGACAGGTGTCAGAAAAAGCAAGAAGTGATGAGATAACTCTCTCATATAAAACATAGACAGAATCAAAAACATATTTATTACCCCCTTCCCACTTTCGTCTATGGAAGGGGCAATGGCGGTCACCCAGGCTAAACTTCAAACATGTTTTTCTCTGTTCATTTCCATTCCATTGGGAGTGAAGGCATTAGTAATTTACAGAAGGAAGAGGATGTTGATTTGAGTTTAGATCAGAGGAACTAAAAGGAACTGCATATTTTACAGGGTCAACTGGTATTTTCTGTACTTGCTAAAAATATACTTAGCCTGAAAAAGAAATCAAATGCAGCCACCACATCTATGAACTGGTGAGCTGCAATATGTTACACTTTTGTTCTTAGGTTTAGATTACATTTGACATTCCCCAGCACAATACCTTATACTGGGGATATGTTAATAAACATCCTCCCTTTTGAGAGCCATGATGATGCATCGCACGGCTGGTGACTCTCAATCCCAGCTGCCACCAACAGATCAAGTCACCTTTAACCATTGGGAACAAATAAGAGTAGTTCCAGATCATGTGACCACCATCAGGAAACTATGCCACTCAGCGGACGACAGTTTTGTCATCTGCAATAACCAATAAATAGTTTTATATTTTGCTAGATGACAGATACACACCTGTTGTTCAGCTCAATTTCCTGATCCTGCCACCTCACGAACTGTCCTGTAATATCTGTTGGGGCCCTTAAAATATCCTTCACATTTAAAAAGAATTCCTGAAAGAATAGATATGTTTAGAGAGATGGTCACATATTAATATATTATGAACATTTGTGTAGAAGGCTGGTACAACAAACGCTTGCATCATTAAAGTGACACTCAACTCAGGAGATAAACCTTAGAAATGCATTCAAATCACCTCAACTATTAACAAAAATATATCTTATTTGTGTATCACTCGGCTGGTGATCCTCAAATCATCTCTGAATTGGTGCCGACACTGTCCTTCTCTCTGGAAGGTGGCTACTTTTGTTCCCCATGGCCCCTGTGTGTGTTGTAAAGTAGTCACCGCTCCAAGCTCGCTCCCGGGATGGACTACAATCTCAATACAAATTAGAAAACTAAACATGAGATTGTAGTCCATCACAGGAGTGAGCTTGGAGCGGTGACTACTTTACAACACACACAGGGGCCATGGGGAACAAAAGTAACCCCCCTCCAGAAGGAAGGACAGTGTCGGCACCAATTCAGAGATGATTGGAGGATCTACAGCCAAGTGATACACAAATAAGATACATTTTTGTTAATAGTTGAGGTGATTGAATGCATTTATAAGATTTAACTCCAGAGTTTAGTGTCACTTTAAGTTGCAATAGAAAAATGACAACTTGAATCTGATTGGAAACAACACCAACGCCATCGCAAAGGAAAATCTCTGCACCGACCATGGAGGCCAATAACTATTCTCGGAGTAGTTATACGTGTTTGTTTTTGTTTTTTGCTGGCTAGCTTGAAAGTGTGCTGAGGACCACCCTTGTACTGTGTGTTTCTTGATTGTCTGTCATGTGCACCTTTCCCTTTTTGCTATTTAGATAACAGATAAGAGAGGCTGCCATATTTGCATTTCTGGATTTAGTGCAGACACACACTGAAACTTTTCAGCTGCCTTGCAAAAGGCGATGTCGGGGTTTCTGGTGTGTGGCTGTACCTTTAAGGAAGATAAGGTAGCCTCCAGGTGATCCTGCTCTCTGTTTGTGCATTGCTATATACTGTACGTCCCATAGATGGGGACTCAGATAAAGTAGAGTTAGGTACCACACTTAGCAAAGTTGCCTTGACACGGCAGTGTGCCTTCCACATGTATCTGCAAATGTATGCAACTATAACCTCTGTTTTACCCTGGGTAGTTCAAACAGGTTAATTATTTTGCTGGCTAGCTTGAAAGGGTGCCGGGGACCAACTCTGTACTTTTCTCAGAGTGAGACATTCCACTTACATTCAAGAATTTTTCATACTGGACGGCAGACTCCATAGTGTTAGTCGAATAATCCAATGTGTCCTTCCAGGAGTGCATAAGGAACGCCAGACGCAACTGTCGGGCTGTGGAAGGACATGGTTTGCATTGTTAGGCTCTGTTCTTTTAAAATATTTCAGTTTTTGTCAGCATTGCCGATTCCGGATAAGGGCTTCATTTCAAACAGCCCTGAGGACACCACTACAATTTAGTGTTCAACTTCAGACAGACAATCAATGCAGCCCTCCCTAATGTTTGATCTGTTTAGTCAGTATTGAAAGAAGAATCAAACACTTTATTCCTTCTTGAAGATGTAGCACCTTTTAGGTCGAGTGACATCATAACTATGTATATTTCATATCCCTCACTTCTGAAGATGCATTTCCTGGTGATGCAACTACAACTCCGAAAAGCACTCAGCAAGCAATCATATTGAGGGCTGTCTCAAGCAAAGTAATTATGCTGTGAGCTGCCTACACAAAAAGACTACAGTTCAATTTACTGCTCAAAACGACTGTTTTACAGTACAATTTACAATAGTACATCCACATGTGTTCTAGCAGCGCTCACATCACCACCCTAGCACTGTCTGTGTGCTGCTTAGGTACAGGTGTCATTCACAATGGGTGGGTGTCACTGGGAAGGCTGCAGGCCTCCACATGTAACAGTCCCCTCTAGTGAAGTTGGCAGCACAGAAGGTGTGTCCCTGACAGCCAGATTACAGCATCATCCAGGCCTTAATTTAGGCTGCACCCATAGGATGAAAAGTGCATTTGCAAGATGATGGTGTGCACTCTAATGTAAACTAATGACGTTGGAGTTTGGATTTACTGAAAAGTGGACCACTGAATACTGTGTGCTGGTCAAGATAATACCCATTAACATTTTCAGGGAGATCTTCAGAGACACACACAAGCAGACAGAAGAACAGTGGGTATCTGCAAACTGCAGTAGTCCATAACGAACAACCAGAAATAAGGCCTATGTCAACAGGCCTTGGGTTTGTGTCACAGGGCAAATGCAGCTTGCTTTTAGGGGCACTTACATCTGATATTAGTTTGAGGTCATTTACAATTCATTGACAGGTGCAGGTGGCCTGCTTTGAGCTGCTATTGCCATACCATAGATTTGTACCTTGTTTCCCCGAAAATAAGACCTACCCTGAAATTAAGACCTAGTACCATTTTTGGGAATTTCTAAAATATAAGACCTACCCCGAAAATAAGACCTAGTTGTGACCATTCCCAGGGCCGTGGTGGCATAAGGGGGAACTTGAAGAGCGGGAGAGAATCAGCGGTGCCAGCGCTAGAGGAAGCAAGGCGGTAGCGCAGGGAGCAGAGCCGCATAAGCCGATGTTTCCTCTACAGCGACGGCTCCTGTCACAGGCGGAGTGATACCAAATGCACTCCGCCTGTGAGGAATCGATAGTGAAAGCGCGCTTCGCTCATTCTGGTTACCAAATTGCTCTTGGAAAGGTAAGGCACCCCTGATTGCCCTGATCACCCCATTCTTAACTTTGGCATTTTGGATTATTTAATTTGGATTTGCATTAACTTTGGATTGTTATACATTAAAAAAAAAAAAGAAGACCTACCCCAAAAATAAGACCTAGTGTGTTTTTTTGAGCCAAAAAAATATAAGACAGTGTCTTATTTTCGGGGAAACACGGTATGTGGAGAGAAGCAGTTTTGACAGAAACAAAATCCATATAACCATAACCTTTCCCATACACTATTATTGATCTGGATGTAGAATACTAATATCTTATCGGGTTCTCCTTTGGTGCAGTTTTCACTTCTTTACTAAATACGCCCAATAAAGAGTAAAGCTTTAGATAAGGACATTACTTGTGACAGATTTCAACCAGAAGAGAGAGAAGGCAAGAAGTATTTACACATTCCGCTCCTATGAATAAACCTGACTACAACTCTTTTGGAATGACTGTATCTGTACCTGTATTTCTCTGTAGTGCATCTTTAATAGTGATGAAGTTCTTCAGAGATTTGGACATTTTGCAGCCTGCGATGGTCAGGTGACCGGTATGGAGGAAGTAGCGCACCCAATAGTCATTGTCGAAGTACGCCTACAACAAGAGGCTACTTTAAACAAAGCAGGGGATGTGAAGAATAAACTCAGCATGCAATGTTAGTGATACGGTCTTTATCATCTCATACCTCTGACTGAGCCAACTCATTGTCATGATGGGGGAAGCGCAGATCAAACCCTCCTCCATGGATGTCCATCGATTCTCCCAAGATGGAGCCTGCCATTGCTGAACACTCAATGTGCCACCCAGGACGACCCTTACAAAACAAGAAGTGCGTGAACCTTGTGTACACAGATGCACATTTACATTACATTTAAAATACTAATGTAATAATCTACAATTTAAAAAATGAAATGTTATGCTACATATTACACAGGTTATTATTCAACTGTAAACAATACTTAGAGAGTAGAGAGGTAGATGAATAGTAAATAACAATAGTCCATTTTTTGTATTTAATATAAAATTGCTTCCATGTATAACATTCTATCTGCAATTCTTAAAAAGAGTCCATCATTAAAATAAAAATAAATTGCTGCATGTATAAAGTCCCAGAACCTAGAGGTACCGGCACATAACTAAAGCTGCCTCTACCTGTTGTAATGGCTGAATCACAGGCCTTCCAAGTGGTGTCAGAGCTTGCCGATACCTCCCACCCACCACAGATTCCTATTATCACTACGATGGGCTACCTCACCAGCTAATATAACTATAAATAAAGGCGGTAAAACTGTGGAACCTGTCAAAATGGCCCCAAACACAGCTTTAATGGCAGGATTTTGGAAGCTGCAGTGGGCATGTGAAGGATCCTCTAGGTTCCTAAATCTGCAGTAAGTTGTTTTTTTTTTCCTAAGGACTCTCTTTAAGTTTGGAAAAATGTCAGTCAGTTATCCTTTAAAGCGGTGGATCTCACTGTGTATTCTCAGGACCCACATTTGTCATGTTTGCGGTTATACCCAATACGTGTGGCTCAATCGTCGCTTAAGTACACATGCATGCCCACATGTGTTTATTCACAGGCAGACAGCGGGGGTGGTGGGGTTGGGCTTTTTTTATTTTGTCTCCATTCTGAATGAATTTGTTATGGTCCTGGGTTCCCCACAAGAGGGTTTGGATGCATAGGGCTGCACGGTTATAACAATCTTAGAGCAGAGACCAGCATTCTTAGAAAAGCTCATTGCTAAATGATTCTCTTCAAACAGTCACATGAAAAACATGGAGCAGCTATGTTATAATTTAGTAAAAAGTGTGAGTATGCCTCATGTATGAATACCGCTATTCCTAAATATCAGTTAACAGATTTTTTTCTTTAACCTTACCTTTCCCCATGGAGAATCCCATGATGGCTCCCCGGGTTTAGAGGCCTTCCACAGAGCAAAGTCATTGGGTGACTGCTTCTCATTTAACCGGTCAGCGGAAATGCTGAGATCACCTTTATATACGAGAAAGAACGCACTTGGTCAGTATCAAACAGTCAGATACAGTCCACAGGCTTGTTTTTATTTAGACCCACAATATTCACTTACCTTCTCCCTCCTGAAGAGCTTTTTGATCACCGACGGCCTCTGGCACCAATTTGGCGTAGTAATGTTTATCACTTGTGTGAAACTTGGCTGTGTTGAAGTAGACAGAACCATTGGACTCATAGCTGCAAGAGAACAAGATTTATTACCATAAGTGCGAGAGAGAGAGTGCAAGAACTAAAAGAGAGGGGAAGATGGAGAGGAAACAAGGACAGACAGAGAGAGGGAGGAAAAGAGAGGGAGGAAGAGGGGAGAGCGTAAGAGAGAACTAGAGAAGGGGAGAGAGAAGACAGAGAGAGGAAAACAGGGAGCGAGAGAAAGGAGGAAGAGAGGGGAAAACGCAAGAGAGGGGAAAAGGCAAGAGAGGGGAAAAGGCAAGAGAGGGGAAAAGGCAAGAGAGGGGAAAAGGCAAGAGAGGGGAGAGAAAAGAGAGCGATAGTAAGAGAAGGGAGAGATACAGGAGAGACAGAGATACAGGAGAGAGAGAGAGAGATACAGGAGATACAGGAGAGAGAGAGATACAGGAGAGAGAGAGAGAGAGAGATACAGGAGAGAGAGAGAGATACAGGAGAGAGAGGAGAGATACAGGAGAGAGAGAGAAAAAGAGAGGAAAACGGGGAGAGAGAGAGAGGTGAGCATGCGCGCGCGAGCGAGAGAGCGCGCAAGTGAGCAAGAGATAAATAGGAGAGAAAGAGAGAAAAAGAGACAAGAGGAGAAAGGAGCAGACAAGAATGGTGGTGGGAGTAGAGAGGAAGCTTACCCATAACCATTGTCTACAATCTTCTGCACAAATTCCACAATTTCTGGCACATATTCACTAACCCGTGTTAGAACATCTGGAGGTAGAACCTGTTGAAAAAAGAAAACAAACCCCTTACCATGAAAGCCACCAGTGACAGCTTTATATTCCAGTTTTCACTTAAATGTAAAACCCATTAAAAGCATTATACAACATCTTTATCAGACTCGGGACTTGTGTATTTTTTTTTCCTACTGCTCAATGGGGGAGGGGGGATGGGGGGACACAGATATAGCCAGGGGTATATGGCCATCCTATGAGAGGTAAAACACTTAAGAATTGCTTGTACCTAAAATAACCTGTACATTGGCCATGAAGGGGAAGCAACAGATTTTTCTTTAAATCAGACCGCCTCAGCTGCACATTAGAAACTTTTACTCACATTCAGAGCGTCCATGTCTTTGTGGTACTCTCCTTCCCAGAAATTGGGCAGCTGAGAGAAAATGGAATTGTCCGTCACTTGTGCTCCTTTCTGGGTATCCAGCCAATCAGAAAGCAGATCGGACGATTCCTTCAGTAAAGTCTAGATTATGCAGGAAAGGAAATGAGGAAAGGACAAAAGTCATCAAAAAGGGTCCTACAGGCAAAATATATGCTATCACTCACTGGAGACTGGTAAGGGTTGCTCATCACCCTCCACAATCACATGCCCATGAAACAGCGACAACATACGGAACCCCAAATTGTCCATAGGCGACGCCTTAAAAGCCTGTGCAGCTCATCAGTTTAGAGATAATAGTGAATATTGGCCCTAAAGTCATTGCTCTCATTCTGGTGCATGCAACGATATCTATCATGTGATTGTACGTAGGGCTGCAACAACTAATCGACATAATCGATTATAATCGATTATTGAAAAAGTTGTCAACTTTTTCAATAATCGATTAATCGGCTTCCGATCAGTTGGCCACACACGCTGCGTGCCGCACCTCCTCCCCAACTCAAGCTCACCGCTGCCAGACCCGCCAGCCCGCATCCACGTTCTACACGCCGCACCTCCTTCCCGCCTCACACTCCACGATCGGCACAGGGACGCAGGGAGATGTAGTAAGGAGGAGCAGGTGTGGGGGGATGACAGCCGCCAATAGACAGGCCCGATCTCAGAAGAAAGTTGCTGGAAGACTGCTCAGGTAAGCCTGCACACTCCCACACATGGTGCTCTATCATGTATTGCTGGGATTTGTATTCCTCTATAGCTGATGGTACGTTGTGCTGTATATTACGTAGAGCATTGTACCATCAGCTATAGAGGAATACAAATCCCAGCAATACATTGTACACTGCATGTATAATGTATTGCTGAGATTTGTTGTACTCCTTTATAGTTGGTGATATTCTGCACTGCGCTGTATATAGGAGTACAAATCCCAGCAATAATACATTATACAGCGCCATGCGGAATTCCACCAGCTATAGAGGAGCACAACAAATCCCAACAATAATACATTATACAGTGGTGCAATGCCGAATACCACTAGCTATAGAGGACTACAAAACCCAGCAATAGTACATTATACATCGCAATGCAGAATACCGCCAGCTATAATGTTCTATTGCTGGGATTTATTGTGCTCCTCTATAGCTGGTGATATTCTGCATTGCGCTGTATATTGTACTATTGCTGGGATTTGTAGTCCTCTATAGCCAGTGCCATTCTGCATTGATTGCTGTATAATTTTACACTTTCCATTTCACTATATTGCACACCACACTTTTTTTTTCTTCTTTTTTTTTTAATTCCACCGCTCCAAGCTTACTCCAGTGATGGAGTGCAATCTCAATACAAACTAGTAGTCCCATCAGTGGAGCCATTTTTTTAATTGTTTATCCGATTAACCGATTAATCGAACTTAATAATCGGCTAACTAATCGATTTTGAAAATAATCGTTAGCTGCAGCTCTAATTGTACGTAGGCGCACCCGACACGTGTTTACGTTACTCTGCATACGTTCCCGGGAACGGGCAACTTTAAATCTTTTTGTATTATTACATTCTACTTATTTATTTTTTTTTAACGTTTTTTCTTTTAACTTTATTGATGTCACATAGGGGGGCTCATAAGTCGCCATGTGATACTATATTAGTGGTGACAAGTTCTCTTTAAGATGACATTAGGGGTCTATTAGACCCCGAGTGTCACCTTTTCACTGCAAAGAAGCTATTCAAACGCAATAGTCCCTAGAAGTGATCTGATGGCAGCTCAGCCACACAAATCGCTTCCAATGTAAAGCCGATCGTCGGCATTACACAGCTAAACTGACTCCCGCCTGTTTAGAGGGGCCTGCTGCCTGTAACGTACGGCATCAGTTGTTGCCAGCAAAAGGATTAAAAGCCAGCAGTAAACTGCTCTAGAATCAGACAAAAAGAAACCTGTTCACTCTGGGTCTGAATCTTGATGATAAACAATTCTGGTTCTGAATGGAGGAAAACATAATGGTCACATCCAAAATTACTTTTAGGTAAATGTTACAAAAATGAGTCATATTGTATTTAGTGCCAGGAAATACACTTCCAATAGCATCAGTCCTTTGTACTAGAACATACTCTATATGACCAAAGGTTTGTGCACACCTGACTATCACACCTATATGAGCTTGTTGGGACATCCCATTCCAAAACATTTTGCGAATTCAATACATTTCTACGATTTTCTAACTATCCGAGTCCTCTCTAAAAACCCCACCACAACCTGTGTTGTAAATGTGTATGCAATTGATTAGATTGGGGTGAGGTCTCAGCTCACCTGGGGGAGTAGTTTGGGAAGTGCTATTTTGGAGCCATTCCAAAACATTAATATAGTGTTGGCCCCCTCTGGAGGCTAAAAACAGACTCCACTCCTCTGGGAAGGCTTTCCACAAGATTTAGGAGTGTGTCTGTGGGAATTTGTGGCCATTTAGTCAAAAGAGCATTTGTGAATTTAAAAGAGAACTATGGGGTAAGTGGAAACACATGATTGTCTAAAATGTCTTTGCATTACATGCATTTGCCCACAAAGTTTTGGTGTGATGGTCAGGTATCCACATACCTCTGGCCATATAGTGTATGTCCAAGTACTGAGTATAGCCCGTCATTATTATAAACACATAATGCACCTGAAAGCAGCACCTAGTGATAGGAATGAGATGTCTAGGAACAAAACAAAAACATTCTGAGCAGTAACATGTATGGAGCAGATGTGTCCACTCAGATGGACACGTCACAAGACAAGACCCACCTGCGCACAACTCTGAATGTCCTCAGCAGGAGCTGATTTATTGATCGCTTCTTCCAGGGGTTGTATGGCAGCTATCACTGCATTTTGGATCTTTTCTAGCATCTGCTTCTTGTCCGGGTCGGTCGTCTCACTTAGCTTTTGCACAAATGGCTAGGGAGACACAAAAGGTGCAACAAAGAAATGTTATCACTACAACTAAGCTCATCTCTAGGGCGTAACGCGTTAGACAGGTGAATGTCCCAGGCGGGGCTTCCCGTGTGGACATCTGGAACAATAAAGTACTATGAAAATGCTGACATCATTGTGGGGTCAGTCCTTCGGATTCAGTCTTTTATTGACAGCCTGGATAAGCTCCAACCTGCCTGCACCTGCTCGGACACTGGTATGCTATGTAAGCAGCAATATTTTCTGTCCCCTAATATATGTTATGTTGCTGGTGGGCAGAGCCAAAGTCTATGTACTCTGCCTGTTCCGCCCATTAAAACCTATTCCAATTGACAAACACAAGGAGCCTGGGCAATTGTCCATTACATGTACATCACTGTTGTTCATGTTTCCACTTGTACTCCAAACAAGAGAAAGGCCATGCTTGCCAGCATGAGAAGTTAGTTTAAAAGGCTGCTGAGATAAGCAGTCCATAGAAATGCAGTTACATTGCAGGCAAAAGTTTAAAACCCTGGTGATGATGTCACAGTGAGTAAAAAAAGCTGCATGACATGCATTAGAGGAGCAGGGGGAGGTTTGGTAGTAGAGGGCTATTTGCATGTTCATATTAGGGACCCACAGATTTTTGGGGAAGTTTGCTGCATTACATCAACACACTTTTGAGAATGTAATCGAAAGGATTTGTATAGGTATGAAGCAAATTTACTACCAAGCCTCCCTCTGGCTCCTCTAATGCATGTCATGCAGCTTTTATTCCCCAAGGTGCTAAACCTTTGTAGGGGCAGCTACTGGGAAAAGGGATCAGCGGGGTTTTATTGGTCAGTCCCCATTTGACGTTGGCACACATCTCCCAACAGCCCTTTGCCCTTTGTGTGTGGGCAGGCTTTTGAAATCAAGACAGCACCATTGTTTTGCTAGGAAATAAAGGGACAAATAGGGACCGGGATAGGAGTTCTGTAGTTCAGCAGGAAGAATTTAACCAGAGTTGACAACACTGCTTGGGATTTCAGTGCAGCAGAGGCAGCGTTGTCAGCCAACAAGAGTCAGTTAGGAGCTTACTAGGTATCTGGCAGGATTACCAGGTATGCAGTGTTTCTAAAAGGATAAAACATGAGGAAATATAAATGTGCTGCAGAGAAGTACTGTACATGTATTTTTTTTGCCCAGATATACACTTTAAACCAATAACCCCACTAGCGGAAGTATAAAGTGACATTCGGTGACATTTGCTTCAAGAAAAAGGTATGCATGTTCAGCATGATACCCCTGAAACCAGGAACACCACCCGCACAACGTTTCGCACATACCACAAGTGCAGTCTTCACATCCTTCAGTAATGCATCCGGCTGAGGCCGGCTTTCTTCGTACTGTTGGAACAAATAGTTCTGTCTGGCTCGTTTAATTATCTGCAGATTTAGGAAAAGTCAGAGAACAAATGTCATTTACATAAATAATCGTTAGCTGCAGCACTAATAAACACTTCATTATACACTAAACAATTGTACAACCACCATCAGGTATTACAAACCTCCATCGATATGAAATATATACAGGAGATCGCTCACCTTATCGTCAATATCTGTGATATTCATGCAGTAAAAAACATTATATTTAAAATAGTCTTTTAAAACTCTTCGCAGGATATCAAAAGAAATATAGGACCTGAAAGGAAGCCAAAATCAAGGGTTATGAAATGTAATTCAGTGAATTCAGAAAGCAGAGGTCAAGAAACAGCCTACAGACCAACAACTCAAAGTTTGCTGCCACAAGTGAGCCGGCTCTACATAGGTTGGAGCGCTGGGAGATTGCAGCTTTCAAACCTTGCCCGGTACTGACACAAAGTGAAACTACAAATAATAAAACTGCTTTACTCTCCTTGCTTGACTGATGTTTGATTGTTAAAAAAGGATGCAGATATTATATACACTGAGTGGCCAGATAATTATGACCACCTGACGTTTGTAGGCAAATTAGCTATAATTTGGCGCTGAAGTTGCTAGAGGGCCAGACCATTATAAATAGGGAAGCAGGTTGGTTACCATGACAGTAGAAGGGATTTGTTTCTGAAGATACGGGGAAACAACGCGATTTAACAGCCTTTGAACGTGGGATGATTGTTGGCGCTCGGAGCCATGGAGCGAGTATCAGCAAAACAGCAGAATACGTTAAATGTTCAAGAGCAGCTGTTGTTAAAGTGTTTAAAGACTGGACTGTCAGACGAAAATCTGGGTCTGAACGTGGGAATTGTGGCCGTCAGCGACTAGTCAATGTTAGGCTGGGTTCACACCTAGACGTATTGAACATGCGCGTTTGTCGCGCATTTTTACCGCGATTCGCGGTAAAAAGACCGCGCGACAAACGCCCGTTTCCGAGGGCTACTTGGCTGTATCCCAATGGAAACGCGAGACCAAAACGAGGACAAAAAAGGGTTAACTTACTTGCTGGAAGTATTGGGTTTATAAGACAGGAAATGATAGATAGCAGGTGAGGAGTAGGGTGGAGGAGTCTGTGGATTTGTGTACTGTGGTGAACCTGCATGTCAGTATCCTTGCTGGAAACCTGTAGACTGGGAAAGTTACCCCTAAAGTCTGGGACGGTTTAACTGCGATTGCAGCTCTGAAATCTTCAAGTCGGTGAGACTGTTATTTTCTATTATACTGAAGAATCGCTGTTTAAGTTTTCCAGCTGGTCCGTGAATACAAACTGTTATGTTATTTTGCTGCTATGAAGCTATTTAAGTTAAACTTTGAGAGGGATTTATCAAAACTGGAGCAGACAAAAGCTGGGAGCAGCTGTGCGTGGCAACCAATCAGCTTCACTCTTTCATTTTCAAATCCTAACTGAACAAAAGTAGCTGATTGGTTGCCATGGGCAACTGCTCCAGATTTTGTCTGCTCCAGTTTTGATAAAAATTCCCCTCATTACTTGAATTGCAATCCTGCTGGATTCATACCATACCTTGCATGTCCCATGTGCGAGGCGTCATATACAGTGGGTCCGCAGCAATACCATGTGACCTTTTTGCCATTTTGTGGAACAAACACTTCCTATAAAGTAAAAACAAAATGTTTACTTGAACACTTCCCTAAGAAAAAATTAAAATAGAAGTGAGAACTGAAAGTGCAAAGCTGGCCATACACTATGTGGTATTCTGACAGCAGCTGCTGAAGACAGCAGGAGATTCCTCAATCTAAACTCTTAAGCAATGATGGGGTGGTGGGGGGGTTCAGGACTGTGCTCCTCTCCAGAGCTCGGCAAATGTCGTAAATATTTCCAATGTGCGCAAAACCAGACGTGAGGTCAGATTTATTTTTTTTCGATCACCCAAAAAATATAGCATGCCCAGGTGTATGCCCAGGTTAAGTCAGAGATGCCATATATTGTCCACACAGCAAGAAAAACACCACTGTGTATGATTCCGGAGTGAAGAAACCAGCATTATAAGATTCAGGCCTCATGGCATCGTGAGTCAACTCCCAAACATACCCTGAGTGGCCTAAAAATAAGTGTTAAGAGTCACACCACCAAATCTTTGACTTGCAGACATATTGTATTGCATTTTGGTCCCACTTTCTGCTTAATATTTTCAAGAAAACACACATTCTGCATTTTGCACCTTGTTCCGAGTTAGACTGTTGTACAGGCGCAGTTTGGGTTGTTCTGATGTGTCTGGAGGTGACCACGGAGGCTGCGTACGTCTCCCTTTGCCTGTACAGAGAGAGAGAGAGAGAGAGAGAGAGAGAGAGAGAAGAGCGTTAGGTAATCCCCAGTAGAATGTCATTTGAAGGTACACACACCGTTATACAGAGACACAAATTATTGACAAATGCTGCAATCAAAACATACAATCTCCTTTTAGATTTCCACCTATATAATCTGGGGGCCTAACTGTTTGACGGCCAGTTGAGTAGAGGTAGGCCCAAACATTTTGGTAAATCTATACAGAAGTTATCATATATATATACAGCCGGCTTTAATGCAGAACACACAGAAGCAGATCAAACAGCTCTTATATCCTATTACTTACACTGAAAACCAAATAAAGTGATAGCACCCTCTTAGTTAGGGTCAAACTTGTAACATTCCTAAGGGTGCCTCCAGACAGAAGAGCAACTATGTCCAATGAGCCTGATCACCATCAGATCAGGTAAGAACTGTGTATCTAACTGTATGCTCAGTTTGAATTTCCTGGCTCCTGTACCCCCCCCCCCCCCTCCCAAAAAAAAAAAAATAAAAGACACAGGGCAGTGCCTAACACTGCTTCAAATTTCTCCCCTTAACTAGAGATGAACCTGGGCTTGGTGTAAACCTAGTTCACCCAAGAAGGACAAAACTGTGACCTCTACTTTCCACTTCCAATCCCATCAGTGGTGGCGGCGGCCATTTCCAGCCCCTTCTGTGACGTATAGCTGTGAGGCGGGCAATGCGCCTCTTCGAAATTGATTGGATCGGGAGGAGGGGGTGGCAGCTTTAAGTAGGCTTGGGCAAATTTAAAGCCCAGGCTCATCACTAGTCCTAACTACGAATAGTCAACCCGACTGCACATCTGATAAACCCAAACAGGCAAGCGTGTGGTTTTATGAAAAGGTCATAAATCGGCATTCTAATTCATCCCAAAAGGTATTCAGGAGGATTCGAGGTCGGGGGCTCTCTTCTGGAGGCGTTCGAGGTCGGGGCTCTGTTCGGGAGGGTCAAGTTCCTCCACAGCAAACCCATCACACCAGTCTTTTTGGAGCTGGCTTTGTACACAAGGGCACAGTAATATTGGGACAGAAAAGGGCCTTGCCAATAAACAAACTCGCATTCTTCTTCCTTGCAACCATGCCAACACATTATTTATTTCTGGGAACACTTCTTGCTCCTGTCACTGTTTTTTTTTTATGCACAGAATATGGCATCTCTAGAAGACTCCTTAGGTTTTATCTACAGTGAATGCCCTCCATAAGGTTTTCTGCCCGGTACGGGAAGTGTGTGTGTGATCATGTGTTTGAAGCAAAAGCAGACTCTCCCACACGGCAGTCATTTTGTATAGATTGTCGGAATCGACGAGGGAGCATGGAGCCAACTTCCCGGGCAATCAGGAAGCCAGGGGGCGAGTCATTACTTCAGGCTTCATGATACCGGAAGTTCCAGTATCTGGATAGGCATCAGGAGCATTTGGCGAGTATTCATACTCACCAAATACTCAGTATTGGTTCATCCCTAATGACAACCCTATATCCCAACAGATATAGTACAGTTGGAGGGCACTGTCACCCTTAGCTGGGAAGTGGTGTTAGTGACAGGATTACTAAATGGGAAAACAAGACTGAAAAACCTGGACAAATTATTATGGAACTCGGGAGCCAATGCGAGTAGGGAGCACTGGCGAGCTGGCTCATGGGATATATTGGGCCTTGGGTTAAAGGGAGGAAAGGAACTGATTGTAGAGTGGATGACTTTTTTTTTTCAATGATTTGCACTCAGAAATTGTGATACACATGCATGTCTAGTTCTAAATGAAATACTGAAAACTAAGACAGGTGCTGAGCTATAGCATGCAATCCCTTATATGTTCCAATCTAGCCAAAGGAGAATATCCATGCCATGCATGTGGATACGAAACATCAATATATAATTATATTGTATTTACAAAAATGCATCATAAATAGGCAGCGTGTCCCCATCTATACAAACTACGTAACTCACACAGGCATGCTAACACGCGTATTACTCACATGAGTGTGCGTTATTTGAGGCGCGCTGTGCTGTGGCATTAGATGAGATCGCCGTTATGTGCCTGTACCATCGAACCACGTGGAAGTAATGGTCAGGAGGGGGTCCTGCCAGCTGCCTGAACACCTCTACATCGGCCTGAGAGAAAGTGTAGCCCTGGATGTAACTACGGTGGCTGAGGTAATCGTGTAACACGGACAGTTGGGCCTTCTGGTCGCTAATGTCGACAATGGACTGGTAGCTCCGAGCTGTAAGAGAGTTACACAGCATTCAGTACACAGGTACGAACCGCAACGGCATGCACTGGTCCGGGTAATACCCGTCGTCCAATTATACAACTCTCACCAATATGTTTGTGAAGGTTCTTATATTTCCCAGTCATGTTATAGATTAGGGGTAGGCAGCCTTGGTACTCCATCCCGTGATGCCTCTGCAAATCATGCCTGTTGCTGTCAGTTTTGCAATGCCTCTTGGGACTTGTAGTTCCAGCACAGCTGCAGTGCCAAGGTTGCCCCCCCCCCCCTTGTATAGGTAGTTAGTCACATTCAACTAAGTGTAACCTTGAAGACGTTTTGTATCTTATTCAAGCCTCCTCTTCAGTTCTAATGTGTCAGGAACATACCCCAGCAGTTATGTCCATGAAGGTAGCACAGACATCTTAATCCAATCTATATGGAATGTGTCAAGGTAGACACATTGGGGTGTATTTATAAAAGATTTGCATTTGAGTGAACAGCTCTGCAAACATCTAATTTTTAGATTTGTAGCCCATTATGGTCACTAGATGGAGCCAAGCAGCATAGGAAATTCCTATCCACCCATTCCTCCATCCATCCATCTAGTGACCGTATTGATCTGTGAATCTAAGGCTGGGCACACACATCTTACAACCATTGCAAGACTTTTGTCTTGCGATGGTTGTAAGGTACTTAAAAAAACGTACGATCTGACTATCTTGCATAGGCAGATTGTACTTGCGATCATTGCAAGCCACGCCCTCTGAGGGGCGGGCTTCCGATGACCTCAATGCCGAACGGGCAGTAACGATCGCGGGATTTCCCGCGATTATCGTACGATTATCGTACGGTGTGTGGGGACCTTAAAACTGTTGTTCACTCTGCAAAAGGCATTTTCCTCCCCTGGGATGATGTGCATGGTCACATGTCCTATTCACATGTGCCAGAAATCCAGGAAGTAATAGGAGAGCTAGTAATCTGCACTTAGTAAACATGGGCACTGCCAGAAGACTGGGGAAGAAAAGAGAAACAAAAGGTATGCAGAGAATAAAAAGCCGACAATTATCTAGAAGTATCTGTTTGTAGATTGTCATTACTAAACCTTTCTCAAGATGTGTTTGTTGTTATTTTAAAGATATGGGTAAAGGTCCGCTTTAAGATCCCATTGCTTTGTTGTCGGCATCATCGTGATCACATGGCTTTATCAATAAAGTGATGGAAACATCAAGCTGGTCACATAACTTAGTTTACAAACGCAGGATAAGGGTTATTGCTAAACATTAAAATATATCTCGGGGGAGTGGG